AATAAGTGAGAATTATTTTCTTCTTAAAAAAAAAACTTGAGCATTTTTGGACACACAAAATACATTAAGAATACTATAAGATATACTCATGCACCTATCTCCCCACTTGAGAAATAGGATATTAGTAGTACTTAAAATCTCCTTATATGTCCCTTCTCAATTGTATCCCCTCTTTTTCAGAGGCAAATGTTATACAGAATTAAATATTCTCATTTTTACATATTTGTGTTATTTTTTAACCATAAACCTATATGATATCTGTGTTATTTTGCATATTTAAAATTTTTGTACTGTGTCTCCTGCAATTTGCTTTTCTCTCTCCTCTACATTAGAGTTGTGAAATTCACTCATGTGGCTATCCGTGGCTCTATTATTCATTTTCAGTGCCATACAGTATTGCATTGTACGGCTGTAACCCAATTTATTTCTCATTCCCCTGCTTGACAAATTCTTAACTCCTTTGCAGTGGAGAATGGCTGTTTCCTCATCATGAATTCCTTCCCTATCTATCATTTATAGCATGAATTTTCTAGCTGGAATCTTCAGACTTGGTCCTGGAGTTCAAAGGTATTTTGTCTTCTGGCTTATGTAGCTGAAAAGTAATGAGTTTCAAATTTTTTTTTTTGTTTGTTTCATTTTCCTTTCTTTTGCCTTTACTATACCTTGAAAACAGGTTCAGAAATCCAGTTCACTTCTTTGTTAGGTTATGTAAACCTCCACCTCCACCCATCTAACAGCTATTTCTGTTGATGAATGGAATGAGAAGAGTAATGGGTACAGGAAGTGATGGAAAGGTATTGGGTCAGAAAGGATTCTTGGTCAATATCTTAACATAATCTCTGCCATACTGACAATGACAGTTAATAGATCAACACTGATTATTATGTGCTGTAATTGCTATTGAGTAATGTCCTGCCTTTCAAATTTTACTGCATACGTCTATCACCTAGGAATCTTGTTAACATGTAGATTCTGACACCATAGGTCTGAGATAGGAGCTGAGATTCTGCATTTGCAGTAAGCTCCCAGCTGATGCAGATGTTGCCAGTCCTGGATCACACTTTGAACAAGAAGGGCGTATGGGCAGAACACACATTTGGCTCAGATCTGAGTTTGAATCTTAGCTCTCTTCTTTTCATTATTCTTGGGGGACCTTGGGAAAATTAGCTTCCAGCGCAATGATGCCGATTCTTGCTCTACATTTTATCTACTTGGGATATATTTAAAAATCAGATACCAAGGTTTCATCCAAAATCAATTAAATCAGAATATGTAAGGGTGGGGTGTGTATATATATGTAGTTTTAAAAGCTATCTGTGTAGTTTTGATGTGTAGTCAAGGGTTTCAAAAACCTTTGTCCCAGGGAAAGTGTTCTCAAACTTTGCCTATAGAAGGAATCACCTGAAAGCCTTGTTAAAACATAGATTGCTGGGTCCCAGCTGAGTTTTAATTCAGTCGATCTGGAGTTGGACCTGAGGATTTGTATTTCCACTCGGTTTGATGGTGATACTAATGCTACTTGTCCTGGGACAGCACTTTAGCTACTATTGTTCAAAGGACTTGAGTTATTAATAAGATGGGTGTAAGGTTACCCACCTTTCATGGACCATTGTAAGATCACTGATATAAAGCAGTATGATGCTTACCGTGTGGCAATCAAGAAATGATTGTTTTTTTGATATGATTGCTAATAATTGCATATGTCTATGCTTGAGTCAGTAGTTGAGTTAATCATATCTCAGTCTGATGGTGTCAGAATCTACATGTTAACAAGATTCCTAGGTGATAGATGTATGCAGTAAAATTTGAAAGGCAGGACATTACTCAATAGCAATAACTTTTGATGGTTTACCCATAATATTGGTTAGGTTATTTCACTTAACTCCTTCGCTTTCAAATTTCCTGAGGAATCACTTCCCCATGTGGTTAAAGAGACACTGTTACCACTCAGAGATATTTAACCCATGATCTGGCTGCTCTGGAACTAGCTTTGTTTGAGATTTCCACAACACTTGGAGCCACATCCAGGGGTCCACTGGTGACTGCTTGTACACAACTCACCCAGTCATGCCTGGTTATCCATGATAACTCCTCATCTAGTCCTTTTTCTCCAAGAAGAATTCAGTGGGCCGCACCTTCCTTATGACAGAACTGGAGTCCTCAGGACCTCAGATTGTGTGAGACTTGGTGGTCTCCAGAAGCACTGGTAGAAGAGAATGGGAGGGGGTGGGTGTGCCCCCTCCTGAGTCTCGATGCTCTGTCATGAACACTTTTCCTCCACTTCGACCCTGGTACATGCAATGACTCCATTGTGATTTTTCTCCTTTTGAACACTGTATTTCCACACAGCTCTTTCCCAGTGAGAATGGTTCCCAGGTGGTATTCTGGCCCAAACTCTGCTACTTCATTATAGTCTTTGTTAACTGGAGAATGCTGCCCTTCAGGTTCTGCAAAGGAGCACATCATTCTCGCTAAATTCACTGTGTCAAAAATGACTCCTTGCTGGGCTTTGGAGCTTCGTTGGTGAACTGCAGCTATTGATCTTGCTTCCAGCATTGTGAATAATGCAGACAATACGGTTTCTGGGTGTCTTCTCTGAAAACTGCTAGATTTTGGACTTGAGCTTGATGCAAACTGCTTTATAAACATGCCAAGCTTGTACTGACAGCACTGAAAGTGCTTTGGGATAAACATTTGTGTTTGCTAAAAATGTCTCTAAAGATTGGATGTATTTCATCAAAAGATTTATCTGTGCATTTCTGAGGGTCTTTTTAAAGCTTTCCATGACCCCATAGCAATAATTCCTTAGTGACTGATTTATCAGCGTCTGGTACATTTCTAACCTTCAGCTTTAAAAAAGAAAACTGAAATTAAAAGTTAATTCTTATTAAAAATTGACAGGCGCTTTCTGAGGGATAGAAGGATTTCATTGACAGGGTGTTTGCTATAAATTGGAGTTTGGGGTTTGGATGTGTTTATTTTGTTACCTCTTTATGTTTCTTAGCAACTCTGGATTTGAGGGGCAGATCTGTTGCCTAAGAAAAGATAGTAATTATCACTAAGCAATTGCTGGGTTAATTAGGTCTGTCAATAATTCAGAGGGCAATTGGAGCAAAGTTGAGACAGGTTTAGAGCCAAGGCTTGTTGCTGTTTTGTGAAACACTCTGAAATAAATCTCTCTTAGGTCGATAAGTCTGACTTGGGTAATGCTCCTTTTTTTGGAGTTGACTTTAGACAGCTGGTTCTAGTAAAAGCTATGTTTATTAGGATCCACTGGCCACTGGACATTAAATTCTTCCCTAATCTAGAATAGAACCTAAAACAGGAGGAGGAAATATCCATTAAGGAGAGATTAATGTTGCATGTCTATTTGAAAACACAGTCTGTAGCTCTGTGATTATAACCAATGTTATGGGAACATTTTATAAATGGTCTTTTAATGGAGATGATATACTGCTGAATAGAATATATATCAGTATTGATTTTTTGATATGTATAAGAAAGATGCTCTTCTCCACCGATACTAATCAGAAAAACAACCATGATAATAATATTCATTCCTAGGAATTATATTATGTTCTATGTGCCAAGTGCTCTGTTTATGCCGTTTCTGCTTCTTGTAATGATAACGCATAAAGGTAGGGATCATTAGCACATTTTTTTAAATGGAGGCACAAAAAGGTGAAATGAGTTGTTCAAGTTCATGTAGCTGATAAGCAGCAGAGCTGGAATTGAAATCCAGACCGTGTGGCTCCAAACTGACTCCTATGGAGGAGGCAAGTGGTTCAAGGAGACAAGGGTCCACAGGAATATTAGAGCTTCCAGAGGGGACATTTCAGTTCTAATACAGCACTAGGGTAGAAGTCTGATTTTTGGCTCTGAATTTGTCCACCAGGTAGGACTTTTCCATGATATTGTTTTTTGTTTTGTTTTGTTTTGTTTTTTACACATGTGCAAGGGAAGAGTAGAGACAAGGTTTGGATTTGCTGAACATCTATTATAAACCAGGAAGTTACATGAGCGATTTACATATATTAAATAATTTCATTATCACAAAAAGTTTGGAAGGTAAATTTTCTTATTCCCATTTTATATATGTGGAAATTAAAGTTCAGGAAAAAACCCATCTTACTCAAAGTCATATGGCTAAGCAGTTACAAGAAGGATTTAAACTCTAATTTTTCTTAGCTGTTTATAAAATAAAAATGGCAGAATAAACCTTCTTGGATTATTATTATGTGTGCTCCATATTTGAAAACTATAAATTTTGCAATTGTAGGGGCATATTGAATTACTTATACTCATCTTTCATTGTATTATCTATCTACTCATTCACTTACAATATTCTTATTATTTATAATTTTAACATAAACATAGAGAAAAGTGTTGTTTATATTTTTTAGACATTCATCAAAGCATGTTGAAGTCACCTATGCCACTTCTACAATCTCATTCTCCTTCCTTCCCTTTAGATACGTAAACATTATCATGAAATATTATAAGTATACTCTATTTGCTCTACTGTACTACATTTACCATGTACATACTACATTTATAAAAACACAGAATTTTTTTTCTTTTAAAATGTTTATAAATGGTACCCTATATTGTGTATTATTTTGCAACTTTTTTCTTTTAAAATGAATATATCTGATATTAGACCATCCTTGAATTCCTAGTGTAATTCACTATGCTTAGGAAGGATTGATTATTATTCTTAAGATAAACTGCCTAATTCATTTTGTTAAAATTTCATTGGTAGTTTTCTTTAAGATTGGTCCATAACTGACTTTTTCTCATTTATTCCTGAAAAATAAGCCCTAACCCGACTATGCTTACTTATTTTTTTTTTTAAATCATCTACTTAAGATTTCTAGAAATTTTCCTGGGAATGACAGCAAATTAAAAACAAATTCAAGAAAACCTATTAAAACTTGGAAAGAATAGTGAGAATCTGTAGTATTTGAGCCATGACCTACTTCTTCCCTCTTCTTTCCCAGCTTGTCATGAGCAAAACTCCATACAAGACAGGTGCAGTCAAGGACACGGGACTCCTTATTCCCAGAGCTACAAGTCTAGAGCTAAGTCTTTCTAGAAAGAGCAGAATACTGGCATTTCTCATCTTCACCAGCTTCATGCTGCAGAGGTCAAATTCCAGGTGAGTCTACCAGAGGTTTGCAGCAGAAGACCAAGGTATGGTCTGTGGTAAAAATAAATATAAGTGAATGAATAAATGATGAATAAAGAAACAATAACCAATACAGATGTTATTTCCTTAGCCAAGAATTACTGACATATTGAAAAATTGTGCTCTATATGTGTACTATGAATTGAAATGCATTCTGCTGTCATATATAACAAATTAGAATAAATAAATCAATAATAGAAATGAATATAGCTTTAAACTGATTGTGCTGAAGAATGACCATAGTTGTAATTTTATACTCTCTCTCCTATTCATAGGGCAGAGGCTTTCTGAGAATAGAGGCCCTTGTCACATACACCTCAGCTCATCCCTGGGGTTGATTTTTCCATGTCAGAAAAGGCCAAGCAGACCTTAGACTACTGTCCTAAGCAGGCCCGCAATCCTGCTTCCTGTTCTAGAGTTTGTGACTCACAGATTTTTACCCAGTAGCAGAAGCAGGGCTTAAGAGATTCAGAGTTCTCCTTAAGAGAGCTAACTTTATTTGCAATGGCATTTGAGAGAAGTTCAAGACTAAATGTGCTCTCAAAATCAATGGAGGTTTGAGAGGTGAAAGCAACAAGCAAAATACTAGTCTAGCTAATTTACCAGAGAGAATTAGGGAAAGAGACAGCTAACAAGAGCCCTCCCAGGGTCAGAGCAAACCTCCAATATCAAACTCAAACATCCATAGCAAGGGATCCAAAATCATTGGATTAGACAGAGAAAAATTTATGTTCCAGGACCATGACAAAAAATAGAGCAATCATCTGGCAATTAGTGGACCTTACTTCCAGGTGTGATCAGAAAAGGGGGAGTGCAATGGAAACCTGAAAAAGTCACTGTCATCCCAGGGTGGTGGGCGGAATTAGTTCTGTGTTCCCTGGGGAACAACTTCAGAGGCTTACCACTTCAGGAGTGGTAAAAAGAATGGACTTCACTACAGTGGTCCAGCCATTCACTAATAAAATGAATCATGCCCCGAGGGCAGGGCACTAGTACCCAGAATTATTACTGAATATCTAAATTACTATTTCAAAAAACAGAAATATGATTCATAAACTAGAAAAGGGAAATCCTGTGGAAAGAACCAGATGTCAGATTGAACAGAAACATGTCAAAGAAGTTATTTTAAATATATTCAAAGAACTACCAGAAAACATGATTAAAGGAGTGAAGTATGATGCTAACATATCATAAAATAGAGAATATTGATACTGAGGTAGACATTTTTAAAGGAGCCAAGTAGAAATTCAAGTTGAAAAATACAATAACTGAAATAAAAAAGATCATAAGTGAGACTCAATAGTAGATTTGAACTGACAAAAGAAAAGAATTAGTAAGTTTGAACATTGGTCAGTAGAAATGACGTAATCTAAAGCACATAAAGAGAAAATTACAAATAAAAAATAGAGATCAGAGTATATCAATACATGCATAAGATTATTAGAAAAGAGAAAAAAAACAGGTGGAAAAGTACTTGGAGAAATAATGGCTGAAATTTTCTCCATGAAAAAAAAAATTAATTGACACATCCAAGAAACTCAACAAAATACACTGGGATAATGTGAAAATAAAATCCAGAGACCAAGAGAATCACAAAAGCAGCAAGAGAAAACTGATTTACCATGTTCAAAGGGAACTCAATGAGAGATTAAAGCTGGCTTCTCATCAGAAAGAACAACAATGAGATGACATATTCAAAGAAAAAAATAAAACATAAAACAGACTCTCTCTATTCTATTTTTTTTGGGGGGGGGCAGGGGTAGTTAGTATTGGAGATTGAACCCAGTGTCAATTTACTAAGCCACATTCCTAATACTTTTAAAAATAATTTTTCTTTAGGCAGGGTCTTGCTGAGTTGATTAGGGCCTCACTTAATTTGCTAAGGCTGACCTTGAGCTTGCAATCCTTTTGCCTCAGCCTCCTGAATTGCTGGAATTACAGGTATGAACCACAACATCTGGCTTCAAGCTCTATTCATCAATAATTTTATGCCCAACAAAACTATCTTTCAAAAATAAAGATGAAATAGAAACGTCCCTAGTCTTTATTAAAATACAATAAAGATACAAAGATAATTTCTTGTCTAACTATATAGGAGTAAGCGGAACCTGAGAGTTTTCTTTACTAACAGAATCACCTTGTAAGAAATATTAAAGGGATTTCTTCAGAATGAAAGCAAGTGACCCCAGACAGTAATTTCATTTCATGAGAAAACAAACAAAAAACAACACCAGTAAAGATAATCCTATAGCTAGAAAAGACAGTATAAATATATATCTCTTCATCTTTTTTTTTTTTGGTAAATTAGCTAGCCTAGTATTTTGCTTGTTGCTTTCAAGTCTCAAACCTCCATTGATTTTGAGAGCACATTTAGTCTTGAACTTCTCTCAAATGCCATTCTGACTTAGAATGCAACTATATAGAACAATATGCACATATAATCACACATGAATAAAAAAGGACCATATGTATGATAATTTAGCATTTATAAAGTCTACAGCAGTGTACAGTCATGCGAAGGACTTCACATTCACTCACCCACAGTAACTTCCAGTCTTGCAAGTTCTACTCATGATAAATGACCTATATAGATGTAACATTAACAACAACAACAACAAAAAAAAAAACTTTTCCACCAAAGTTTTACTCTACTTTTTCTATGTTTAGATATTTTTAAATAGTCAAATATTTACAATGGTGTTACAACTGCCTAAAGTAGTTGACATAGTAACTTGCTGTACAGGTTTGTAGCCTAGTTACAAATGGGCTATACCAAAAAGTAGGCTTTACAGTCTAAATTTGTGTGGGTACCCTCCACAATGTTCTCACAATGATGCAATTGCCTAACAACTCATTTCTCAGAATGTATTCTCATTATTATATGATACATGACTGTAATAATATGTTAGCCTTTAACATACATTTACTATTGTCATTAATAGCACAGAGGAGTTAGGTGGAAGGAAAGCTGTGTTGCAGGTAAGGGAATGATAACAGATGGTAGCTCTAATGCACAAGAACAAATGAAAAGAGAAGGAAATTATAAATAAGAAGTTTAATATAATAAAAAATCTCTTTATTACTTCAGTTTCTCTGAAAGATAAAAATTATACAAAATAATAATTACAACAATGTAGTATTGGACTAGTCACATATTTGAAGTAATGTAAATAGTAACATAGTACAAAAAGGAAAGTAGGAATACTGATATAGTTGTACATTTTCAATATTTTTAATCTCACTAGAATTAAGTTACTTGCATAAATCTGAGGTAGGTTCTTATATGTTAAAAATGTATATAAGTCCTAAAGAAATGACTCTGGAAATATCTAAAAAGTAGTACAAAATGATTAAGATAATTAAATTGTTATACCAAAAAGTTCACTTAACATGAAAGAAAGCAGTACAAGAGAGATAAAGAGTTCAAAAAAGCATGAGAAATATAGGAAAAAAAAAACCCTAAATGGTAGACTATATAATTACATTAAATTTGAGTGGATTAAACTATCTATTGAAGATATAGATTATCAGGCTGGAGGAAAAAAAGAAAAACAAGGTTGAATTGTGTGCTGTATACTGAAGACTTCACCAGCCATCCATAGGCTGTGTGTGGATTGTGTTGTGCATAGTAGCCTTCTAAGGGGAAGCGGGTGGCACTGTGAGCTCCCTGTCAGGGATTGATCACATGATGCAGGTGCGCCTCCCCCTCTGCCTAAGATCCCACACACCACCTGAGATGGGCGTGGCTTGCCAAGATGTCAATCAAGCTGTTGCCCATAAGACATCACAAAGCAAGACTCCACCCTTAAAACCTTATCTCTCTCTCACGTCCCCACTATAAAATAAATAAAAAATGAGCATGTGCTCTCTTTACAGCGTGAAAGTGCGACGCTTAAGGTCAAGGAGCCTCGAGCCCTTGATTCCAAAATTATTTGTGTGGTATGATTTTTCGCGCCTTCTTCTTAGTTTAATGTTGCAGCCAGCCTGTTTAAACCCAGTTTGTCTCATCTGCAGGGGTCACGGTCGAGAGGAGGCACACTTCAGATTCAATGAGACAAATACACTGAAAGAGAAATGATGGGAAAAAGATATATCATACAAATAGCACCCATAAGAAAGCTGGCTATACTATTACTTGGCAAAATAGTTTCAAGCAGTGTTATTAGAGAAAAAGAGAATAATGATAAAAGAGCCAAGAAATCAGGAAAATATAAAAATTACAAACACATGCATCTGATGGGTACTAACTGAGTCCAAAATCTAGCAAGGCAAATGTCATTGGATCTCAAAGCTCAAGAATGATCTTCTTTGATCTGGTGCCCTGCCCTCCAGGCCTTCTGGGATAGCAATATCACTTCTACTGCTCTACAGAATGACCTTGACTTTGAGGTTCACTGAGGCAGTGCTCTTGCCTCCATGGCTCTTCTAGACAGGGGTCACACCCTTTGAAACAGGGAGGAAGCAACTTTGAAATTGCACCTGAGGAGGGTGTGGGAGCACTCATCTTCTCTGAACTAGCTTTTCTTGCAACTGGACAGCTCCATGGTTCTATCCTGCAGGTTCCAAGAAGTCAAACAGTCTTCCTTGATCTCATCGTGTTCTTGATGTCTCCATTAGTCCCAGATGGCAGTATTTCTGCTGGTAAAATTTCATCTCTGTTCTTGGCTTCTACTGAGGCAACTGATTAAATTCATGGCTCATATCCCTTGTGATCTACTCATCAAATAGTTGTGTAGACACCCCTGTAATGTTCTCTTCCAAACAAGTGTTTTCTCATTGTTCACAATATGAATAGGTTGAAAATTTCCCAAGTCCTCAAGTTCTGGTTCCTTTTTGATTAATAATTGCTTCTTCGATTTACCTCTCTCCTCATCGTTTACTATAAGCACACAGAAGTATCCATGCCATGCCTTCAATATTTTGCTTAGAAATCTCCATCGCCAAATATATAATTTCTGTTTTCCACAAAA